CCCCGCCCGGGGGCCACTCCGCGCCTCTGCACCAGGCGGCGCTCGCGGGCCGCGCGGAGCCGGGAGAGGAGGGGTGGGGCGGGCCGCTGGGCTGGCAGCCTTCTGGGTCTGCGCGTTTGGGGTCGGCCCTTCCGCGGGTTGGAGCTCCGTGGGAGTCAGCGTCTCAGGCCGTGTGTCCCGGCTGCTCTCCGTCCTTCGTTTCAAAATCCTGCCCTGGAAGGCTCACTTCTGGGTTCCCACAATTGCTAGGACAAAAATAGGCATAAATATCCCTTTCATTCCCCTGTAAGGCAGACGACAGCTCAGCCCAACGCAGGTGGTGAGTGGTGGGGCAAGGTGCGAACTGCGGAAAAGTGGAGCTACCGCTCGCCTTGGGCTGATCCCTGATCCCAAATATCCAGGCCCCCAGAGAAGCACCCCTGGCCTCAGACAGCCCTTTGTTCCGGGTGGAGCCGGTTCACCCCATGGGAGGGGGCAGGCACTGGACCATGAGGGGCCTGCCCCAGGGGTCCCTGTCCTTGTCCTGAGACGCTGCCCAGCTGTGCTCAGGGGCCTGGCCTGCTGCCCTGCCCGGTTGCTGTGTGACTCAGTGTGGCCCTGTTCCGTCCAGGCCCAGCGGGGCTCACAGCTGACCCCTGGCAGCCCTGTGCCCTGTGGCCCCTGCTCCTCCACAAGGCTCCAGGGCCTTCATATTCTGGGGGCTCTTCCTTCCTTGTCTTCTTCAGTCTTGTTTGAATGTGACAACAGCAAGGTCATTTGGTCCAAAGACGTTCTAGGTTCCAGTGGGCCCAGCAGCTGGAAGGGGGCAGGAGCCTGGAGGTGTGTCCTGCATGGAGGGGAAACTGAGTCTCAAGGACGTGAAGCCCCTTGCCAATGGGGACTGCCTGCCCTGCCTCTCTGCAGAGCCTGGCTTTGGGGGCAGCACCCACGGCCCGTGGAGGGCAGGACTGGGCAGCAGGGGTGGGGCACGCATGGCCCTGGCCTCAACGGGCCCCAGGGAGCCCCCAGTTGGGGTTGACCCACAGCCCCTCACCCCTGCACCCTCTGTGGGGTGTTCCTCCCCATGGTCTCTCTCAGAGGTGTGGGCACCTCAGTGCCCACCCAAGGCCTGACTCCCGTGGCCACCAGGGTCTGGGGGGGCAACAGGACAGAACAGACAGCTCCTTAGAAGTCTGATCTGTCAGGCTGAGCCACCCCCAGGGGACCCCAGGGCAGGCCTGGGCATGAGCCCTGGGCAAATGCCCAGGGGAATGCAGCAGGGCCCAGCGGTCCCTGACAGACGTCACAGTGAGAGCTCCAGGGCCCCTGCCTCTGTGCAGCTGCCCCACGTGCCCAGCCATGCCTGCTGGTTTCCAAAACATCCAGCGCCTGCATGCCCAGCTGCTCCAGGAGGGGCAGCCCCGAGGGCCTGCGGATGCTTCTGGGTCTGCCCAGCACCCCTGCTGCTTGAGGTCCCAGTGCACTACTTCTTTTTCCACCCCGGGGCTTCCAGGACCACCACCCTGGGATTTCACCCTGCTCCAGGCCCTCTGGCCCCCAGGGCCCTCCTCGTCTCTCATTGCCCCTTCCGGGCATACCTTGCATCACCTCCCAGGTGGCAGATAGGCTGGGCTTCAGGGATAGGATTCTTGACAAACAGCCCCAGGCCCTGGTGGCACTCTTGAGAGATGGGGCGAGCCACACCTTCAGGATCCAAGTCCGGCTGCCGCTGAGGATTGCAGGACTAAGACCCTGGAGGCCAGGGGACTAGGGGTGCTGCAGGGGGGTGCTGGGGCCTAGATGGCCTTGCAGAAGGGCATTGCTGTCCCCCCATCCTCCTGCCTGCCCCCGGACATGTGCAGTGGTGCCCAGCCTGAGTGTCAGGTGCTTGCCTGACTTGGAGCAGAGACTGGAGGCCAAGGGCAGGTGGGGGCAGGGGAGTGCAGGGACCCAGTGATCCCCCCTTGCTGTCCTCGCTGGCCCAGCCAACACCCAACCACAGGCACGCCCACAGCTACCCGGGTGCCCACCTCCACTTCAGAAGGCAGCTGGGGGGCTCTGGGTGCTGGGGCTGCCCCTGGGTCCTCGTCAGGGGTCCTGGGGCAGTTCCATTGGCCTGAAGGGCTGGACTCATGCATGGGGCAAGGGGGCAGCTGGCCCCGGGGAGGATGGCTCAGCAGACAGAAGGGGGCAGCGAGGTGGGGAGGAGAAAAAGAAGGAGACTGACCCAGGGCGAGGGGCTGGATCCTCCCCGTCCAGATTGAACAGTGTCCCCAGGTGCTGAACAGGAGTAGGGGGCCCAGCAGGATCGGGTGCAGGGGGCTCTCCAGGGAGCGAGACCCCCCACACACCTGTGTAGCCCACAGCTCCCCTGGGCCACCTTTATTCAGCACCTGCTCCAGGTTCTGCCCCGGTGAGGAGGGGTCGCTGTTCCACAGGCAGCCAAAACCACAAGAACCAGTCAATAAGAATGTGCTGCCGAGGGGTCGGCCCCCTGGCTTGGCTGTTAAGTGCGCGCGCTCCGCTGCTGGCGGCCCGGGTTCGGATCCCGGGTGCGCACTGACACACCGCTTCTCCGGCCATGCTGAGGCCGCATCCCACAGACAGCAACTATGGATGTGCAACTATGACATACAACTACCTACTGGGGCTTTGGGGGGAAAAATAAATAAATAAATAAAATCTTTAAAAAAAAAAAAAAAAGAACGTGCTGCCGAGAAGTGGAAGAGGCCATGGTGTGGGGTTGGGGCGGATGCTGTGCTGGGGGTTCGTGGGGAAGAAGCGCTGGAGTGGAGGCCAGGTGACAGCACGGGCCCTCCCTCCCCTTCTTCTGAGGTGCCACCAGGCCCAGATTCAAGGCCTCCATGAAGCTGGCTCCCCCCTTCACCCCAGCCCTGTCCTGCCTCCTGGCTGTGTTGGTTCACATGTCCCCCCACCCCTCAGGACAGCTCTGGGATCCTACAGCTCCCTGGGTCCCTACCTGGGACCCCATCCCACACTAGTCCCTGCTGCCCTGGCCACACGACCCTTTTGTCTACAAAGTCCCCCTGTCTCTCTGGGTCTGGGGTTCTCCTGCTCACCCCTCACCCCTCTCCCCTTGAGGGGACTGGAGCCCCAGGACGTCCTTGGCTGCACATGGTCCCCCGTGGCCCCTCACTGGCCTGTGGCTCTCCACGCCCACTGTACACCTGCTCCTCTGCCCGATATCTATAAGCATCTTGGGCTAGAAAGGTCCAAGACACAGCACATTCTCCCCCTGCCCCACCTCAACTGCCCACCCCGGCTGCCCCTCCCCATCTTCCCAGTGAGCCACCCAGCTGCTCGGACACCCTGGTGTTGCCCCTACCTCCTCCGTACCCTCATCCCTGAACCACCACAGGCCCTGTCACTCCAGAATCTGTGGCCCTGTCCTGCCTGCCCAGCCCATTGTGCTGCCCTCCGCACGGCTCACCCGACTCCGCAGCAGCCAGAGTGGGTCACGCCCCTGCTCAGACTTCCCAGTGGTTCCATCACAGCCCAGCAGGATGCCCTCCTCACTGCCACAGGTCCTAAGTAAGCTGACTACCACGGACCACCACTGACCAGCAGAAGGACTAAGACACCCTCCTTGGTCTCCTCCTCTCAGCATTCATCTTTTCTTAAGAAGTAGCCGGCCCTGTGGCTTGGCGGTTAAGTGCGCGTGCTCCGCTACTGGCGGCCCAGGTTCGGATCCCGGGCGCACACCGACGCACTGCTTCTCCAGCCATGCTGAGGCCGTGTCCCACATACAGCGACTAGAAGGATGTGCAACTATGACATACAACTATCTACTGGGGCTTTGGGGGAAAATAAATAAATAAATAAAATTATTAAAAAAAAAAATTCTTATGAAATTGCAAGGGACCCCAAATAGCCAAAACAATCTTGAAAAAGAAGAAGAGAGTTGGAAGACGCACACTTCCCAATTTGAAACTTACTACAAAGCTACAGTGATCAGGGAGCCGGCCCGGTGGCACAAGTGGTTAAGTGCACGCGCTCCGCTGCAGCGGCCCGGGGTTCACCGGTTCGTATCCCAGGTGCACACCAATGCACTGCTTGGCAAGCCATGCTGTGGCAGCCTCCCATATAAAGGAAGGCTGGATGGGCACGGATGTTAGCCCAGGGCCAGTCTTCCTCAGCAAAAAAAAA